TTTCCATTAGGTGACTACTCTATCATGTGTCCTAATATGGTTAAGTAATTTGCAGTCTATAAACGAATATGTAAGCATTAAGGGTCGTGAAAATTTGAGATTATGTCATTGCCTAATCAAGGATTTTCTCATATTCTTCTCATCGTATATGTAAAGCACCATTCTCGGACTCAATATCCAAAATAGTCATCGAAACTAAAGCCACATATCTTCTTCAGTATCATCCTTAATCCATTACCAAAACTCATTAGTTAATTACTTCACAACAAACCCACTACGAAATTTATCAGAGGAGGCTTTATGAAGAATGTACTAAATTTGTACTACATTTGTTTTGGTTATGAGAGCTTCAAGATCCAACTTTTACTCCCAAGTGCATCATAGTGGAAGACAATGGATATTCTATATTTTTGTGGAGAGCGACAAGCCTATGGTGATCTTAAATATAAGCATTATGATTTATGATTACAATTCTTGGACACTGTTAACATATAGTGAACTTGAAAAACCTCCAATGCTTCCAACATTTAAGACTCTTGTGAGCTGCAGAAACTAATGGTTTTGTGTAGTATGTGCCAAATCGACCTTAGCCTTATGGCCAGTTATGTTGGGGGCAGGGTTTGGTTTGGCACCAAAATTTTTCCACTCTGAACAGAAGAGCTTAATTTTCATCTTGGTGGGAGGGGCTTTTTGTCACTGCTTGGGGAGGAGGTTCCATTTCTCTGTCTGCCTGGAAGTTTGGCGAACACACACACAGAGAATTGAATCATTTGAGGAAAAGATGTATGCTTTCTGCATAGAATTTAGTGTCTTGGATGGTCTATAAATTTGAGTTATTTATTCCTAGAAATTTTTTCATGCTTTGAGGAATGTTTCCCCTGGTGTTCTGAGGTATAAACACCCTGGGGCAAGAACAGTATGTTCTCAAAAATATTATTGATTACTAAAGTAGAATTTGTTCATGGCACACTGAATACGGGGGAAGTAATTGATTGAAAATGGTTTCTAGAAAATGGGTTTCCGGATTATTAACATGTCACCATTTTTAGTGGAAATGGCACCACTTGTAATTACATATAAAGAAGTCTTCTTTGAATGAGAAAGTGGGCAACCTTCTCTTTTCAGGTCTTACCAGCAACTTGCAGTTGTTACATATATCTTCATATGATTAATTTCTGGTTTCTTCTCAGAGTAATCATGGTTGGATTTGTACTAGTATGTTCTGTATGACCATAAAACATAGTACTACCAAGTATACAAACCTAATATTAAAGTTTATGCCATGAGAAAACCCAAATACAATATCTTAAACAAATAAAGGTGGTAAGATTATGAGACGTTTTGAACATCATGATCGGATCGTTTAGGTGTTCAAGAAGGTGAAAAGTGCTTATTCAATCAATACCATGTCAATATAGGAAAAATTGACACTGTTAAACTTTTGACGTAAATTGTATTGTATTTTGGTGTCATTCATTTCATCATTTTGTATTATTCTCTAGATAAATGGCCTATATGATAATCTGGATGGACGTGTATCAGCTTTGGAGAAGCTAAAAGAAAGAGAGGCAACTAAGCATGTGGAAGTAGCAGAATAGGAGTTTTTGCTGAACATTTTAAGCAAGAGTCAAAAGTTAGTCAAGAAAATCTCCTCCTGAATTATGTTCATGTTTAGTTCCTTGAAGCATTTGTTCTCGCTGAGTTTTTACGGCTTTCAAATTGCGCTGTGAGCATTATTTGAGATTGGACATTTTTAAGATTGTTAATATTCCTCTCGTCAATTAATGAACGGTTAAGTATACTAATTGTCACGGGATTTTACAGTCGTTTTTATTGCTCACAGAACTATAAAACTGGTTTCAGTTATACAACCATGTTACTCAACAGTCCTTTTTCTAATTGAAATTCCTGTTGTGTTAAAAATTAACTTATATTTCCTACACTGATAGGGAAGTCACTATATCCAAACATGATTTTCTATTAAAAGTTGGAAGGTTAAGTGATTATTAATTAAATATATTTATTAATAAAATATAATAATTGTCACATATACATAAATATATGTCACAATTTATTTACTGATCATATATTATCAAATTTTTTATAAGTCACGGATTATTTTGAGATCACAAATTAAAATTTTATTGCTCATAAATAAAAAAAAAATTACATGTCACAATTTATCTATTGGTCACGGATTTCAAGATTTGTTGGTCACAAATTACTTTTCAAGTCACGGGTTATCAAATTTTAAAATCACAATTTAATTTAGGTCACATGTAACCAAGTAATTGGTCAAGTGGTCACACATCACCGTCATCAACACTACTGCCACCGCTTCCACCCGTCTTCGCAATGGCAAGATCCACCACCATCCCCGTCACTGTTGCCACCACTACCGACACCACATCGCCACCACCAACAAATCACTATTTGCAACTACAAACCACCACTGCTATTACGAGATCCACTGCCAGATTCAACAAAAATCACCCAAACTGTCAGATCCACAACCTCTGTTGCTACCATCAATAAAAATTTCAGCCACCATCAGTCCAACAAAACCACAACGCCCCCTCAAGTTCCTACAGAAAAAACCACCATCGCCTCAGAACAACCACCGTCGCATCCAACCAGATAAAACACCATCGCCACTACCGGATGACTATCAACACCACCACCAACCATGCTGCTGTGCACAAAATACCACCACGCCTTTGTTCACTCGACCCTACCGCTTGGTACAATTCGCGGCAGCGTCGCGACGTTGCAGCTAACTGAGCAGCATCGTCTCGACGCTGCCAGCAGAGAATGGGGTAGGGGAAGGAGGGAGAGAGGGGTAAGGGAAGGAGGGGGGAGAGAGAGAGAGAGAGAGAGAAATTAGATTATGAATTATGGTTTTAATATAGTAACTGATTTTTTATTAAATAAATTGTAGACCTGATTTTTAAAAACCATCTTTAAACACCTGATTTTTTATAATTTCCCTATAAGTAACACAAATTAATTGCTAAAACTTTTTAAAACATTTTTCATCCCTTGATTGCTCGATTTGTGCATGTCATCTATGCGCAAGGGCGATGCTACTCGGAGGGACTTCATCCCTAAACTGCAAAAACATGATAATGTTAATAGGGATGACAACGGGACAAGTATGTGATGGGTTGATTATTTCCACTCCCTTCGTGTTCATATTTTTGTTATCTTGTCATGTCCCCCTACTTGGTTAAAGTGGGACGGGTTCGGGGTAAGGCAAGTCATCTGCCCCATTTATCGTCCCGTTTATTTTTTCAATTTTTAATTCCTTTTATTTTTTATTTTTTGTTTTTAAATAGTAAATATTATTACATCACTGAACTAATGAAATGTTAAGGCCATGTAGGGATCACAACGAGGCGAGGCGGGGCGGGGCTGGGCGGGTCGGGGTTCGGGCAAATTCCCCCTCCCCGTCAGGCAATTTCCCTCCCCATCCCCATCCCCATCCCGTCTAATTTTTTTTTTTTTGAAGTTTTTAATAATTCATTTTATTTTCCCAATTCATTATAGTGAGACAATCATATATTTTTTAATCTTTATTTATTTTTAAAAGTTAAATTATTTAGATATATTTGGTAAACTAAAACTTTTATTATTTGTCATATTTTTTAGATAATCTTAGTTGTCATTTTCTATTAAAACTAATGAAATTGCGTGAAAATTTTCATTTAAAGTTGAATTCTTAAAAAAAAAAAAAATTAAACGGGGCGGAGCATCTATCACCTGAACCCTCCTCGTTTCCGACTCGAATACTCGATTAAGCTGGTAATTCCACCCCCGTTCGGGGCGGGGCTCGCGGGTATTGGGTTTTTTTTGTCATCCCTAAGGCCACATATGATTTTTTGTTAAAAGTTGGACAATTGAGATATGATGGTATAATTGAAACAAAATTTAAATTTTGGTGATGTAAATGAAAAAAATCAAAGTTGAGTGGCAATTAGTATTAACATACAAAAATAAAATGGACTATATTATATGTTATGCTGGCTATGTTCGAACCCATGCAAGTTTATGTGCACAAGAACACAAAGGTTTGAGACCCATTTTCTAAGAAACAAATTTTGTAGTAGTGATTTTTTTAAGAATGTAGGATTAAAAAGTAGTGAAATTTTTAATTTAGGTGTAAAATTATTTTACTGAAAAAATGTATGATTAAAAAATAAATTTTCAGAGAATAGGACTCCTCTCGGACATACCAGCCTAATGTCCTCGTTAATATATCATTTGGTATTTAAAAATTTTGTTCTTCCAATCGCTCGAAGAATTCTAGGTCATCATATATAACTGATTCTTAAATTCAATCCAATGACAAGGAAATTATCATTCTCGTGTGGTAGCTACTTTATCAATATGATAGTTGATTGGTCCATTGGTTGATTGTATCACACTCAAGGTTAATCATTTATACTAAAAATCATGCATTTGATAAATTGAATTGCAAGTTATTAACATAATTAAGAAAAATTTGTATGGTAGTGTTTATAAATTGTGGTTAATAAGAGAGTAGCAAGTTGTAGGTTCTATAAAATATAATGGGCTTAAATTAAAATTTAAACTTTATATGTTTTCTTAGGACGCTTTGATTGGAGGAATATTTCTAAGTCTTTGCACGTGCCAACATTCTATTTTTTAATCATAATCACATAATTTAATCTAATTGTATTGATACCTTAAAGAAGGAAATAATTACAAGAGACCAACCATGTGAAAAAAATGTAACAATGATTAGAGAATTGGACCCTCCATGTTAGATTATGCGTCGTTTACTCAATGTACCCTCTCAGGGCAGAGCACTTTGAGTTGGACTTTAAATTGAAGCAACATTGTGGGTCATCATTCTTCTAATTCTATATTAGACCATCTCGTCTCAAAGTTCAAAGGAGATCAATACTTTTATGAATCCAAACAAAGGCAAAGAACCACAAGAAATTAAGGTAGAGTAGTTTCCGGTGGAAGAGAGAATTATGGTCCGAAGCCAAGAAAATTCACGGTACAATCAGTCCATTCCCAATGTCCCAATTACCACCTCCGTATCCCCAACTTGGAAGCTCTACGAAAATCCCTATTATACATCTCAGAATAATGTTCGGCAAATACAGCAAATTCATCATCTCCAACTTCCTATATCTGCACGAAAGATTGCAGCTTCTTTCTGGGATTTAAACTTTATTAAGCCATTTGTGGAATCTGAGCTTAAAATGGCTCGAGCGCAGATCATTGAACTGAAGGCTGAGCTAGAATTTGAACGTAAAACGCGTAGAGAAATGGAGTCTTTGAACAAAAGACAAGCTAGAGAACTATCCAATGAGAGGAAGGGAAGAGAATCCTTGGAGAAACAACTTTCATCTGATAAAGCAAAAATCAGTAGGATGAAGAAAGAAATGGAGGAGGAAAGGAAAATGATGAGAACAGCAGAGGTTATCAGGGAAGAACGCATACAAATGAAACTTACAGACGCAAAACTCTTGTTAGAAGAAAAAATGTTGGAATTAACGGATGCCAGAAACATACAAAGGGAATCATCAGTTTCCATGAAAGACGATCATGGTCGTCGCAATATAACTGCTTCAAATGCTGCTGATTGTGTTTCTTTAGGACAAAATTTAAGGTTGGTTTTGGCCGAGAAGCCGAGTTGTGGGGTTCATTCAATGGCAGTGAAGAGAAGAGCTATTTCAGAGCCAGAAAATCCTCATATTAAACGAGGGATTAAAGGGTTTGTTGAGTTTCCAAAAGTTGTTCGAGCAATTGGTTGCAGTCGAAGCAAGGAATTTGGCAGCAAATTGGAGTGTCAAGAGGCGCAGCTAAAGATACTATTGAAACAGAAAGGTCCAGTCCAATTGGATTGCCTTAGTGCAAGCTAATATTGTGTTTTTTTTTCTTACTCTTCATTTTGATAAAACTATCAATGTCTTTGTTAACGTTGTTAATTGTCTGCTGATTAGTGATCATTCATTGACATTCTTTTTTATATTTATTATTCTTTTGAGAAGAAGTTTCATGTTAGATTGAAGCAGATGTGCTTCGTTGCCTCCAGGGCCGGTCCTGGCCCAAGGCAAACAAGGCCATTGTCTTGGGCCTCAGATTTTAAAGGCCCAAAATCACATTAATCCATAAAAAAAAAGTCGTTTTGCTTTTCAATGAGAAGAGGAAACCCAGTAAGAGGAGGAGACGATCAGACGAAGAGTCCTCCTCCTCGAGACTCCAATCAATAAATGAATCATCTTCATTTTTCATTCTTCAATCTTCAAGAGCCGTCCTCCTCCAAACTTAGGAAAAAAATTTCTCTATTCTATTTCTTATTTTCAGTTAATATCTCGCAGTCGGCGAAAATCTGAATTTGAAGTACCCGTTATCTCTTGTTTCTCTTCGTCAATCTCTTTTAGGCCTTGTTTGATATAACAAATTTTTCATGGAACTAGAAAAACATTTTCCATTTCCTACTTTTTAACATGTTTGATAGGTTTAATTTTACAGTCAAAAAATTTTCCACTTTAACCCTCACGCGCCTTATTTTCCTCCAAATGAAAGAAAACATTTTCCCCTCCTTCACCAAGGAATTCATTTTCCACCAAAGATGGAATTCATGAATCCCATCCTTGCAGCTGTGATTTTCCTCATCGACCTCAAGAAGAGGTCGCCGTGGTGTCGGCCGGGTTTTTCCCCTTACGATTTCCCTCACCAGCAGTGATTTCCCCAGAAACGCACTTGCGATCAGACCGTAATGTTTGTCGATTCCAGTGGCGAAGGAGGGCGCCGACTGTCGTGGTGTCGCCCAGTGATATCTTGGTTGCCATGGTCGTCGAAGCTGAGAAAAAGGCGCTGACCGCCGCTGAAGGTGGAAAAAACCCTTTCTCTCTGATTAATCTCTCTCTAATTTCTTACTAATTGCTGTAATTAATTTGTTTATTGCAAATAATATACTGAATTTCCTTTTCAATTTCTGTGTTATTGTTGGTTTTGGGTTGAGATTCAAGCTCAACCATTACAGCTGGGGGAGTTGGGCTTGCATTGTTGGAGAAATTGTTGGAGTAGGAGGAGGCGTTGATGCTGGAGAGATTGTTGGATTTGGATTAGTCAGTGGTGAAGTAGGAGTAGGGCGTTGGGGAAGACATTTCTCGATTGTCGAAATTTTTTTGTTAATTTTTCATGTCGATCAAACATCAAAAGATGGAAAATCTTACAATTTTCTAGGTGGAAAATTATACCAATCAAACGCAACTAATTGACATTTCCCGAGAAAATAATTTCTGGGCAATTATTTTCCCTGGAATTCGTTTTCTTTTCCACCCAATTTCCATCTTGCAATCAAACGGACCCTTAGTACTTTTTTTACTCGAATTCAATTTGTCAAGTTTTAAAAGTGGCCAAGCGGGTTATTGGCTTAAAAACGTGGATTGAGAAAACGAACCACTGGTAACTTTTTTCGCCAAAGAAGTTAAAGGTGAGGAGGAAGAGACCTATATTTTGCAGCTTCTGCTGTTCCTATTGTTGTGTTGAGGAAAGGTAATTAATTATTAATTATGGCTAATGGATTCATCTAATCATCTCTTTCTTGGATAGTATCATAGCAATATTTAGAAATTGAATAATTGAATTAATTGAATAATTGGATCCTGTAAATTAAATACGTTTGCCCTCGATGTTTTGGATGATTTGGATCCTGTAAATTAATTGCTTCATCCTTCAGTGTCACTCTTTCCTTATTTGTGAGTCCCTGCTATAGCCCTTATATGTTTGTTGTGTATTGTTTTCTGTTATATGCCGCACTGTTAATATAAGGCATGATTACTCAAAGAGGATCTAAAAGTGTTTGTTTGAGTTCATTGTGATTCTTTTCCTCCTTGGCTGTTCCTCTTCTACTTCTATGTCGTGTTGGAAGAAAGGTATTAGAAGAGAGGCTTTGGGCAGTCATTTTCGGGATAAATCTGTTTTATATACTGATTTGGATGCAATGATGCTTAATCTCTTTTCTCCTGCAACTATTTAAATTTTGCTGCACTTGTAAAAAAATGATTATGTTGAAGGGCCTCATAATAATTAGTCTCCTAGGGCCTCTTAATTCTCAGGGTTGGCCCTAGTTGCCTCTACATTTGTATATTGGAATTTGACACTGAACGGATGGGGTTTCTTGTAGGAGCTTTTAAAGTTCTGATTATTCGAAATTTTTGTAGTATCAAGAATATTATGTTGACAATGAATATTTTAAGTAATTCGAAAGTGATATTTCGGATCGAAATCAAATTTTTTTTCTTCAAAGATTTATTATTATATCCTCGCTTAATTATGGTCATTGAATGAATTAAACTTTGACGAACCACTTTAGCAACTTGAGCCAATGTAGAGAAACGAAAAGCCATTGATATGTTTGTGGGACAAATCCTTGTCAATTCAATAAAGTTCGAAATGATTTTTAAGTTATCAAGTTAGAGAAAAAAAACATCTTGTATTGTTTTTGGTGTATAATTTCACCCTTCTAACAATTTGACTTACACTTGGAAATTAACTTGAATGGATTTGAACAACATAATGGGATGATCAACGTGATCTGAATATTAATTCAAGTCCACCGACTTCATGATGTATCTTTAAGACGAATTTTCTCCATTATATGGCGTTTAAAAAAAGGCGTTTAGCAATCATCTCCTTGGATATAATGAATTTCGTTTCCTACGTAAGCAATTGATAAGTACGTTTTTACATACTTATTTTACTGTCAAAACATGAGCAATTATTGATTAATATGTTAGAATATAGCTTAATTCTATGCAATTCATATTCTGCAGGACAAGTGATGAATGTAGCAGAAACAAGGAGAAACAAATTGGATCCTGTAAATTAAATACGTCAGCCCTCGATGTTTTGGATGATTGGATCCTGTAAATTAATTGCTTCATCCTTCAGTGTCACTCTTTCCTTATTCGTGAGTCCCTGCTATAGCCCTTATATTTTTGTTGTGTATTGTTTTCTGCTATATGCCGCACTGTTAATATAAGGCATGATTACTCAAAGAGGATCAAAAAGTGTTTGTTTGAGTTCATTGTGATTCTTTTCCTCCTTAGCTGTTCCTCTTCTACTTCTATGTCGTGTTGGAAGAAAGGTATTAGAAGAGAGGCTTTGGGCAGTCATTTTTGGGATAAATCTGTTTTATATACTGATTTGGATGCAATGATGCTTAATCTCTTTTCTTCTGCAACTATTTAAATTTTGTTGCACTTGTGAAAAAATGATTATGTTGAAGGGTCTCGTAATAATTAGTCGTCTAGGGCCTCTTAATTCTTAGGGCTGGCCCTAGTTGCCTCTACATTTGTATATTGGAATTTGACACTGAACGGATGGGATTTCTTGTAGGAGCTTTTAAAGTTCCGATTATTCGAAATTTTTGTAGTATCAAGAATATTATGTTGACAATGAATATTTTAAGTAATTCGAAAGTGATATTTCGGATCGAAATCAAATTTTTTTCTTCAAAGATTTATTATTATATCCTTGCTTAATTATGGTCATTGAATGAATTAAACTTTGACGAACCACTATAGCAACTTGAGCCAATGTAGAGAAACGAAAAGCCATTGATATGTTTGTGGGACAAATCCTTGTCAATTCAATAAAGTTCGAAATGATTTTTAAGTTATCAAGTTAGAGAAAAAAAAACATCTTGTCTTGTTAAAAAACATCTTGTCTTGTTTTTGGTGTATAATTTCACCCTTCTAACAATTTGACTTGCACTTGGAAATTAACTTGAATGGATTTGAACAACATAATGGGATGATCAATGTGATCTGAATATTAATTCAAGTCCACCGACTTCATGATGTATCTTTAAGACGAATTTTCTCCATTATATGGTGTTTAAAAAAGGGCATTTAGCAATCATCTCCTTGGATATAATGAATTTCGTTTCCTACGTAAGCAACTGATAAGTACGTTTTTACATACTTATTTTACTGTCCAAACATGAGCAATTATTGATTAATATGTTGGAATATAGCTTAATTCTATGCAATTCATGTTTTGCAGGACAAGTGATGAATGTAGCGGAAATAAGGAGAAACAAGTGAAAAATGACCAGAATGGAAGAAAGTGAAAATTCAACCAGAATGGAAGAAAGTGAAAGTTCAAGGACTAAAGTGCAAATACTCAAAAATTATGTCGGGACTCACGATGAAGGTTCGAGAGTGCTAAGGGTCGATTGGAAGCAATTAGAAGTCAAAAAGGAATGGAATATTATCAAAATCAATTTCCAATTCGCACAAGATATATTCCAGATTTTTAGCCGAAAATTGTGACCCATTTTTGGCATAGTAAAAGTCCGAATTGAAAAAGAGCTACTTCTAAAAAAGTTGTAGATCTTCGAGTTATCTTTCTAACGCATCTTGAATCATCTAAATCGAATATCGGAAGAGAAATTTATAACTAAATTGCTGATTGCTGTGCAGAGACAAAAAATTCGCGCCCGAAAGCAACTTTCTTTATTCGATTAGAACTCTTTTGAAAACCAATTTGGACGTGATTTTCATCTAATTTCAAAGACCCTTACAAATACTTAACAGCAGAATACATATGAAGGAGGCCCCATACACCATTCTTCTCCTCTTTGGCTGAAAAAATTTATGGAGAACTAAAGATCTTGGTGAAGCTACGAAGGAACTTGCTTGGAATTGGTGATTTCATATCTTTTATTCACTTATTTTGATCTTTTCATTATCAAACGATGCTAGAATTTAAGTTTTCATTCTTATAAATTTACATT